CCCCTAAACACATACAGCCACGCCCCTATACACATACAGCCACTCCCCTATACACATACAGCCACGCCCCTATACACATCCAGCCACTCCCCTAAACACATACAGCCACTCCCATATACACATCCAGCCACTCCCCTAAACACATACAGCCACTCCCATATACACATACAGCCACTCCCCATACACATACAGCAACACCCCTAAACACATACAGCCACTCCCCTAAACACATACAGCCACGCCCCTAAACACATACAGCCACGCCCCTATACACATACAGCCACGCCCCTATACACATACAGCCACACCCATATACACATACAGCCACTCCCCTAAACACATACAGCCTCTCCCCTATACACATACAGCCACACCCCTAAACACATACAGCCACTCCCCTATACACATACAGCCACTCCCCTAAACACATACAGCCACTCCCCTAAACACATACAGCCACGCCCCTATACACATACAGCCACTCCCCTAAACACATACAGCCACTCCCCTATACACATACAGCCACGCCCCTAAACACATACAGCCACGCCCCTAAACACATACAACCACTCCCCTAAACACATACAGCCACTCCCCTAAACACATACAGCCACACCCCTAAACACATACAGCCACTCCCCTAAACACATACAGCCACTCCCCTATACACATACAGCCCCTAAACACATACAGCCACTCCCCTAAACACATAGAGCCACTCCCCTATACACATACAGCCACTCCCCTAAACACATACAGCCACGCCCCTAAACACATACAGCCACTCCCCTAAACACATACAGCCACGCCCCTATTCACATACAGCCACGCCCCTATACACATACAGCCAATCACTAGCACCGTCCCCACACTCGTTACATGTGCCCGTGTCCGTTTAGCTGTGCTGACTCCCCAGGGCCTGAATGTGTGTCATTTATTAGCTTTGCAATCAGGGTGGTGCTACTTCCAATAAAATAATTATTAAAGGCTTTTGCTGCATCTAGGGGTGTTGCAGGATTTGGATGTGCACTTTGACAGAGGAGGGCTTCAATTTTCACTGAAATATTGGACCTTTGCCCTTTTTGTCTGTTTTGTGCATGAATTTCGCCATTGTCTATATGCAAAGTGATTGTTTATAGCGCCAGTACGCTTGAACTTTGACCACAATGAACCCCAAAACTGGTACATTTGAATGAGGTCAGCTGTGATCCAAGTCATATGTGCCCCTTTTATTCGCACCTTACACAGCGGGGCACACAAATCCCAAACTTAGGACTGAATTTCGGACTGAAAGAATTCATTTGCACAGTCTAAATCTGGGAATAGGTTTAAAGGACCACTATAGGCACCCAGACCACTTCAGCTTAACGAAGTGGTCTGGGTGCCAGGTCCAGCTAAGGTTAACGCTTTTTTTTTATAAACATAGCAGTTTCAGAGAAACTGCTATGTTTATAAATGGGTTAATCCAGCCTCTAAATCCTCTAGTGGCTGTCTCATTGACAGCTGCTAGAGGCGCTTGCTTGATTCTCACTGTAAAAAACACAGTGAGAGCACGCTAGCGTCCATAGGAAAGCGTTGTGAATGCTTTCCTATGCGACCGACTGAATGCGCGAGCGGCTCCTGCTGCGCATGCACATTCAGCCGATGACGTCGCTAGGAAGGAGGATCGGAGGAGGAGGAGAGCTCCCCGTCCGGCGGTGGAGAAAGGTAAGATTTTAACCCCTTCCTCTCCCCAGAGCCCAGCGGGAGGGGGACCCTGAGGGTGGGGGCATCCTCAGGGTACTATAGTGCCAGGAAAACGAGTATGTTTTCCTGGCACTATAGTGGTCCTTTAATCTGTGTCATGGGAGGTTCTTGATGTCAATTAGAAAAGATTCAAGATTACATTTCTTGAAGGACCTGGTGATTTTAACCTTGGGAGAGGATTAAGTAGCCTTTACATTGCGCCTATACATTGCACAGACATGCATAACACACTGGCACAAACATACAAGGAAACCAAATCCCAATAAAAGTGATGTGTGTACATTATCTTTTCACAGCTGTGCACGTTCTCTTTACTACAGATAAAAAGAAAATACAAACAAATCAATTTACCTCCGAGCATTTCACCTGGACATAGAGCATCACATTCGTTTTATTACGGGTGTCAGTGGGGGGGTGGCCGGGGGCAGGGCTGTTCCCAGGAATTTTAGGTGACTTACTAATAACAGTTTATAGAACAAAAATGTAATTTAGAAGAAGCACAAAGTATCTTATATACACGGAGTGATTTCTAAACACATCTATTTTAGTTTAAAGCAGATCTGTCACATTTCGGTATTTGATAAAAATATAATCTTTATGAAATACTGATTAAGAATGCGTTGGAATTTCGCTGAATTAAAACACAATCCGAAGACAAGGAATATTTTGTCTCATGACTGAGGTTGTCCCACCGTCAAGTTTCCTCAAATCCCAGAAGCCACAAATTCAAGCTTTGCCTAAGGAGGTTCCTGTGGTCCCGTCGGATCTTCCATTGACCTCAGTGTCGCGCATGTGTGAGAATACAGCACTGACAATGCTCCAGGCAACTGAAACGCCAGGACCAAATCAGGACCTGCCAGGGACAGCTTGCACCCTCTCTCTTTGAATCCACACTGGATCTGTTCGCCTTGGGGATCTTTGCTAAATATGCAGAGACACCTGAAATTGACAGAACCACATTAAAGACACATTACTGGGAGTATTATTACAGTGGAGCTCTGTTATACACTCAGAAACATTACTGGGAGTATTATTGCTGTGGAGCTCTGTTATACACTCAGACACATTACTGGGAGTATTATTGCTGTGGGGCTCTGTTATACACTCAGACACATTACTGGGAGTATTATTACTGTGTAGCTCTGTTATACACTCAGACACATTACTGGGAGTATTATTGCTGTGGAGCTCTGTTATACACTCAGACACATTACTGGGAGTATTATTGCTGTGGAGCTCTGTTATACACTCAGACACATTACTGGGAGTATTATTGCTGTGGAGCTCTGTTATACACTCAGACACATTACTGGGAGTATTATTGCTGTGGCGCTCTCTTATACACTCAGACACATTACCGGGAGTATTATTACTGTGGAGCTCTGTTATACACTCAGACACATTACTGGGAGTATTATTACTGTGGAGCTCTGTTATACACTCAGACACATTACTGGGAGTATTATTGCTGTGGAGCTCTGTTATACACTCAGACACATTACTGGGAGTATTATTGCTGTGAGCTCTGTTATACACTCAGACACATTACTGGGAGTATTATTGCTGTGGAGCTCTGTTATACACTCAGACACATTACTGGGAGTATTATTGCTTTGTAGCTCTGTTATACACTCAGACACATTACTAGGAGTATTATTGCTGTGGAGCTCTGTTATACACTCAGACACATTACTGGGAGTATTATTACTGTGGAGCTCTGTTATACACTCAGACACATTACTGGGAGTATTACTGCTGTGGAGCTCTGTTATACACTCAGACACATTACTGGGAGTATTATTACTGTGGAGCTCTGTTATACACTCAGACACATTACTGGGAGTATTATTACTGTGGAGCTCTGTTAAACTCTTAGACACATTACTGGGAGTATTATTGCTGTGGAGCTCTGATATACACTCAGACACATTACTGGAAGTATTATTGCTGTGGAGCTCTGTTATACACGCAGACACATTACTGGGAGTATTATTGCTGTGGAGCTCTGTTATACACTCAGACACATTACTGGGAGTATTATTGCTGTGGAGCTCTGTTATACACTCAGACACGTTACTGGGAGTATTATTGCTGTGGAGCTCTGTTATACACTCAGACACATTACTGGGAGTATTATTGCTGTGGAGCTCTGTTATACACTCAGACACTTGGCAGGTGTGGTGCTATACAGAGAGGGACAGAGTGGGAGATAGCTGTGTGTTTTACAATCAGACACAGTAACAAATGGAGCTCCTAGAAAAGATGGACATTAGGAGAGAACAGTGGGACAGAGGGATTTGGGCCAGAAATAGGGACTGTCATTCATAAATAGGGACACTTGGGATGAATGCAACATAATGTAACTCTGTATAAGAAGTGAATATCGTGATAGTAGCATAAGCTGAATGCTCACTCACAAATCCTGGCTTAAAGGTGCCACCACAGCTCTCTGTCATATGGGAAGCAATCATGTCGAAATTCCTACAGGAGCATTTATAAAACAGCAGATGGTGGAGACCATTTAAACACAAGCACAGTACAAATATGCACTCACATGTATAAGAGCCTTAGGGCAGAAAATTGGTGTATTTAGAGTTAAAACTCCGGGCAGCAGGATTTGTAAATGTATAATTTTATTTTGCTAAAAAGTATTACTAAAACAGGCAGAAATACAAATAAAACCGATACAAAGCAGAGAAGATATTTCTATGCCCTCCAACAGAAACATGTACACAGATAGGTCATATATACTGCTCTGCGGGTTTAAATGCACAGAGTAATGTAAAAGTGATATGAATGTGGGTTTTAAAACTTTTTCTGCTGTTGGCAAATCATATATATATAAATAATATATAAAATTATTATTATAGTACCACCATGTTCTGGAGTGCTGTACAAGCATACATGGAAAATAAAACCGAGTGTTGACATGCAAAGTATTGTTGACAGAGACATGAGGTGAATAGTTGTTGTTCAAAGAGCTCACAATTTAAGAATATTTATATATAATATTATCTATATGTAAAGAGTGTGTATTATTATTATAAAGCGCCAACTCTAGCAGTAGTGCAGTACAATGCATGTGCATTTATGGCTGTGGGGTGTGCAGCAGCTGAAAGTATTTTTGTCGAGGCGACGTCTCAGCTGCCACCTCGTCCTTACAGCTGTTTTAAGGATTCCTTCCCCCCATCAGATGTACGGACGGGGTAGAGTTTTCGTAAAAGAGAAACCATTTTAGTTTTACGGTTAGAATTTGGAAAATCGTGGATTGTGAACGTTTTTCGATTTTGGCTGTGTCTCAATAAATTTCTTTGTCTCACAATTTCTGGGTAGTAAGTAAATTTGCTGTCTCGTGACCCCACAGAGTAGAATTGTGTGGGGGATGGAATGACACCAGTAGTGTGAGCAGTGCGTGACATTAATACTGTTGACATGGCTTTAACCCCTTCAGAACCAGTGATGTCATAACAAAGCAGACGTCACAGAGCCTGTGTCAGCATTAATGTCTGTGGCTGTACGTAGCATCCTATATTAGCAGTGTACACATTTAAATAATGCACCTTATGAGATACCCTGGAGTGTCTACTTTCACAAATGGTAGGCCTTCCTGGAGTGCTACAGAGTGTCACAAAATCAAATCCATCTCTGCAAATTCTAACTATAAAAAGTGGAATGGTCGGGTGTCTCGTACAGTGCTGTAACTTCACAGGACAGTGATAAAGGTGTACAATGGGGGTATCGCTGGACTGAGCGCAATATGGGGGTTTGTATGGGAATCACACGTCAGCCTTACAAAATACTAATTTAATAAACCTTGTATATGTCTGCATGTCAAAACACAATTTTCCTACAAAACGTATCAATTTTGTTTTCTGTGATGGCTACTAAGCTTAGAAGACAGATACCGAATTCGACTGTATTTGTACTGCACTAATTATACATAAATTACTATTGTCAAAATTGGGACATATAGTTTTTGCATTTTTTTTTTGTAATGGGAATTTTATATGTGTCACATCAAAGAGTCCTTTTTGTTCTTTTTAAAAGTGGTTTATAATAGTATTGGAGCAATAAATGTGGTCAAACGCAAACAACAACAATTGCCTGTGTTCTTTTAATGAAGACCATAGCATTGGTGCAATGTGTATTCCTAATGTTACACCCCCCGCCGTACGTTGCTCATGGTGGTGGTCAGAGGGGTATCTGTCAACAAAGTCTCCAAAGTGTTACGTCACAACAAACAGGAACAAATAGTTCCATAGCTGAGATGTGGCCAGCGAGTTCAGTCTTCCTCACATTTGATTTTTGCTGTTGATCCAAAAGAATTAAACAAACAGGCAAAAACAGTTTGAAGGGCTTCCAGTTTTGCAACATGCTAGAGAGAAATCCTTGTTGAGCCCAGAATGACGGTTATCTCATTGGATTAAGAAGCTATTATCCCACTAATTAGAAATTCCATTCCTGTATATTATGTTTTTGTAATTATATATCAGATTGCTGTTTAACCCATTAATAACGGCGGCCGTGCTATACCGTACTTGGGGACCTTGCTCTAAACGCCGGTGGGCGGCATGGCACGTCCCCGCCATCCCATGTACTTACAGGCTCGCCGGCGATCCCACGCCGGCAATCGTGGTGGGGGGAATCACCTGGCATCCCACGGAGTACCCCTGCTGTCGTTCCAGCCCTCCTGGGCCATGTGATTGCGAGGTCCTTGCGAGCTTAGCATAGCCGTCCATAGCAGTGCCAGCAGGGGGAGTGCCAGTACAGTGTAAAATGAAATTATATATACTTAGATCATATACATATTTATTTTATATATGATCTAAGTATATATATATATACACACACAAACATAAACATAAATACACATACATAGTCTAAGTGTATTTTTATACTAATATATATATATATATATATATATATTAATATCAAAATACAGTTAGAATGATATTGATTAAATATATATAATTATTATATATATATTTATTTATAATATAAAATATGTAAATATCTTAAATAAAAAAATGTAAATAAAAAATAATATATATATATATATATATATATAGGTATGTGTGTGTGTGTGTGTGTAATTTCGTTCTAACTGTATTTTGATATCTATATATATATATATTGATATCAAAACACACGTAGAACGAAATAATAAACAGGGCTATGCATAGGACACGAGGTCACACATTTAGGCTGGAAGAAAGGAGATTTCATCTAAGGCAAAGAAAAGGTTTTTTTTACAGTAAGAGCAATAAGGATATGGAATTCTCTGCCTGAAGAGGTGGTTTTGTCAGAGTCCATACAAATGTTTAATCAGCAATTCGATAAATACTTCCAAAAACATAACATAAGGGTATATAATTTATAATTAGTGGGGTAATAGCTGCTTGATCCGAGGAGACATCTGACTGCTATTTTGGGGTCAAGAAGGAATTTTTTTCCTAGTTTGTGGCAAAATTTGAAGCACTTCAGTCTGGGTAATTTTGCCTTCTTTTGGATCAACAGCAAAAAACAAATGTGAGGAAGGCTGAACTTGATGGACGTAAGTCTCTTTTCAGCTATGTAACTATGTAACTGTGTAACTGTGTAACTGTGTAACTGTGTAACTATGTAACTGTGTAACAATGTAACTGTGTAACAATGTAACTGTGTAACTGTGTAACTATGTAACTATGTAACTATGTACCTATGTAATATATATATTTATATGCATAAGTATATACCTATATATCACTATATATATACCTATATATCAATAAAAATAATTTTAAAAATTATATATATATATATATATATATATATATATACACACATATACACACACACACATATATATATATATATATATATATATATATACACACATACGTGTAACGGCACCCCCAGGCATAAAAAGGGTTAAACCACCATTTAGAGGATATTCCCCTTCCAGATATACAGGTAGCTACCAAAGACACCAATCCACCGAACAGGAAAACATACGAATGCCGTAAACAGCCGAATAGGAAAAACCATACGAATAGGTTTACACTCCTAGCAGTCGAACTGGAACAGCTTACAATAAATCCCCCCAAGAACGAGACAAGGCTCTGTTTTGAGGGTCAAGCAGGAACAGACAGAGCGGTGGGTTTATTGTTCTTATATACACATTAGTATCACCCACAGGGTTTTGGAAAACAACCAATAAACACATACAATACACTCAGACACTCCCACACAAAATCCTCCCCTCTGCCTGTGATACAATTACCTTACACAATGGGTAATGTAATTATCACAGGCAGAGAAATACATTTTTTCCACATTATTCATAACTTTAAAAGTATGCATCACATTTACATAAAACTTACATTTTCAGAATCAGCATACTCCAAATACAAACATATGTTCAAATTGGTCCATTGGTTCAAAAGATAGATCGAAGTCCTTTGTGACCAAATGAAGCATGGCTTTTCTGCCCAAAACCAGTTCCGCAGAGTCGTCTATCCTGGAGATAATTGAGAAGTAATCCAATTATCTCCAAGGTCAGAAGCAAAACTCCATTAGCCACATGGTAGCAAAATACAGTAACATACAATAAAATACACAAGGTTACATTTATTACATAAAATACAGACATGCAACATATCCCCAGATAGCTTAGGTCTGAGCGCACATTAATACTGAATGGCGCTCAGACCACATACACATACAGTTCAATTGCCATGGAGCCAAAGTCTTTTATTACATGAATAGGCTCCATGGCATAGCTCTCTGGGTTAAATTAGTTCATTCAGTAAATCCGAGAATCTACCGAACGCCAGGGCAGAAATACATGAATAGACCTTTCTGCATATGAAAATAAAGTATTTAAATGCCGGTCCATAGTCAAAAGGCAGCAGGCAGGCAACCAGGCTCCTCCAATGCACAGTGGCGAGATTGGTCTAATCACAACACGTATATATATGATAATTCTACATATGTATTTATGTAATATTTTTACATAATTAAGTAATTTTATAAATTACAATTTGCAGGACCTGCCTGACAACCCAGGATGAAAGTCCTGGGAATTTAATTTGGTATCACTATATTTAACCCTGTAACTTTCCAAGACACCATAAAACCTGTACATGGGAGGTACTGTTTTACTCAGACTTCTCTGAAGACAAATATTAGTGTTTCAAAACAGTAAAATGTATTACAACGATGATATCGCCAGTAAAAGTGACTTTTTTGCATTTTTCATGCACAAACAGCACTTACACGGACGATATTATTGCTGCGATACTTTTTTACTGTTTTGAAACACAAATATTTGTGTTCAGCGAAGTCTCCTGAGTACAACAGTACCCCTCATGTACAGGTTTTATGGTGTTTTCAAAAGTTACAGCGTCAAATATAAGGCTTGCGTTTCATTTTTTTCACATTAAAATTCGCCAGATTAGTTACGTTGCCTTTCAGACCCTATGGTAGCCCAAGAATGAAAATTACCCCTATGATGGCATACCATTTGCAATAGTAGACAACCCAAGGTATTGCAAATGGGGTATGTCCAGTCTTTTTTAGTAGCCACTTAGTCACAAACACTGGCCAAAGTTAGCATTCTAATTTGTATGTGTGTGAAAAATGCAAAAAAACAGATTTGAATGATAATTTTGGCCAGTGTTTGTAACTAAGTGGCTACTAAAAAAGACTGGATATACCCCATTTGCAATACCTTGGGTTGTCTACTATTGCAAATGGTATGCCATTATGGGTGTAAATTTCATTCCTGGCTACTATAAAGTCTCAAAGGCAACGTAACCAATCTGGCGAATTTCAATTTCAAATGTAACGTGCTATATTTGAACCTGTAACTTCCCAAAACGCCATAAAACCTGTACATAGGGGGTACTGTTTTACACGTGAGACTTTGCTGAATACAAATATGTGTATTTTATTGCAGTAAAAGCAAACAGTATTATGACATTGACAGTTAAAATGTCATGTAGAACTAAAAAAATCTTATTTTATCCCATTTTTTCATATTAAATTATATTTCATAGCTAAATATTTGATATTAAATGAAAGCCCTGTTCCCGCTGAGTAGAATGATATATAATAAGGTGGGTGTATATAATGTGCCAGCGGTGCGTTACGGTGGGACGGACGCGGGACGCGGGACGCGGGGCGCCAGGTTTGGTTTGTTTCCATTTGGCTCAGCCCTGAGGGGGTTAATGTTGGCTGTGTCTCAGTAATATTCTCTTATTTATTTATTTATTTATTTATCCTTCCTGGTAAAACATCTGATAAATCAATATTTGCTACAAGTCGCTTTGCGGGTTATTTCGCCTTCCCGCTCCCGTGTTAGTGAATAAGCTGTGGCGATGTGGGAGCGCCCTCTGGCGGCCAGGGCTGGCGCTGCGTTACCAGCACTGTCTGTTTCACTGTAATCCTTTCAATAAAGTTATTTAGAAGGGTGTTTTCCCCGCCCCCTGTGTTGATTGGCTGAGCGCGGGGCTCGCTGATTGGCTGAGCGCGGGGCTCGCTGATTGGCTGGAACCCCACCCTGTGTTCTCAGTCTCTACTTCCTTTTCCTGGTTCCGGGTTCCACCCTAGTGTTCAGGCTAGTCCTTGCACTGATTGGACAGCAGCGCCTTCCCTTTAGCCAATAGAATGTGTTCTCTTATACAGCATGCGCACCATCCCTGTATGCCGCTTTGTGATTGGCTGGATCTGGGAGCAGCTTCCGTTCCTGCTCTGCTCTGATTGGCCGCCTGCTGCTCTCTGTCTCTCGCTGATTGGTGGGTTCAGTTCCCCTGTCAGTCAGTCTGGGCCGATGAGCCCCGCTGCCGGGTTCGTGAAGGAGCGGCCAGAGTATCGGGCCTGACATGGAGCCGCCTCCCGGGCCCCGGCCGGTCCCTCCCCCCCGCAGGACGGCGTCCGGGGAGCACCGAGCCGCGAGTCCCCCAGGCGGGGAGCCCAGAGCATGCTGGGAGAGGGCCCCTGAGAGAGCCCGAGGGCCCCACAGGGAGAGCGCCGTCACCCAGACCGTGCTCATAGTGCTGGAGAAACGGGGGGAAATGGCACCAACGCAGGCCGTGGCGCAGCTCGAAATGGCACCAACGCAGGCCGCGGCGCAGCTCAAAACGACACGTCGCCCGTCCATCGAAACCGCCTCCGGAACAGCACCAACGCAGGCCGCGGCGCAGCTCGGAACAACGCGGAGCCCTGCCACCGAAACCGCCACCGGAACGGCTATGGAAACCGCCACCGGAACGGCTATGGAAACCGCCACCGGAACGGCTATGGAAACTGCCACCGAAACGGCACCAGCGCAGGCCATGGCGCAGCTCGGAACAACACGGAGCCCAGCCACGGAAACCGCCACCGAAACGGCAGCAACGCATGCCGCGGCGCAGCTCGGAACAACGCGGAGCCCGGCCACGGAAACCGCCACGGAAATGGCACCAACGCAAGCCATGGCGCAGCTCGGAACGACACAGAGCCCTGCCATGGAAACCGCTACAGAGAAGCAAGCCATGGCGCAGCTGGGGACAACGCAGAGCTCTGCTACGGAAACCACCATGGTGCAGCTTGATAGGACACCAACGCAAGCCATGGCGCGGCACCGAAAAATGCAGATCCCTGCCACGGAAACCACCTCAGAAACCGCCACAGCCAAGTACGAAATCACACCAACGCAGGCCATGGAGCAGAGCCCTCCCATGGAGACTGTCAAGCTCAAAATGACACCAATGCAAGCCATGGTGCAGCACGGAACAACACAGAGCCCCGCCACGGCACAGAACAGAACAACACAGAGGCACGTCACTGTGCAGCATGAAACGACAACTGCGCACGCCACAGTGCAGCACCGAACAATGCTGAGCCCAGTCACAGTACACCAGGAAACAATACCGAGTCACACCATGGCACAGCTTCAAACCGTGCAGAGTCATGCCACGGGGCAGCAGAAACCAATGCTGAGCCCTGCCACAGTGCAGCTTGAAACTACACAGAGCCCTGCCACAACACCGCACAAAGCAATGCTGAGTAATGTCACGCCGCAGTACGAAACGGCAAAGAGTCACACAATGGAGTATGACATTACACCGGAGCAAAGTCGTGCCACTCACACCATGCCGCAGCACGAAATGATGCAGGCTTGCAAGACTCCAGAGAAGCACGATACATCACATCATGACATGGCACAGAGTCACACCACGTTGCACAACACGGCACAGCTTGAGATGCTGCAGAATCATGCCATTCAGCACCTTCTAACGGTACAGCATGAAACAGCTCAAAGTCACATCACACACCAGAGCGAAATTCAGCAATACAAGACAGATAGTTATGACACGATGCAGAGTCACAAATTGACACAGAACTGTGTGCTACCACAGCAAGATGACAGAGAACTGAGCAGAATGGCTCCACTCCAGTCATCAAATCAACAAGACAGTAGCACACTGATCCAACATGGCAGTGCGATGCAGGGTACCACAGTACAAAGCTCAGCAACATTACAAGACAAGCATGTGCTGCAGAGCCATGGAAAGCCAGACTCCGATGGCATTGTACAGAGCAATGTGACTCTCAAACTGGACAGCAAAATAACACAGCAAGGGTATAATGTGTCTCCTTCATCGGAAACTCTACAAAGCCACCAATCGCCACAGCAATCCAACACCTTAATGGATACAGAGAGTCACACACCGAGCTATGTACAATCCCAGGAAGACAATTCCACCACATGTGTTGTGTCTCTTGCAAGGGACCGCATTAAGCAGAGAAATGTTTTGAAGAGTAACCTCTCAACCAGTAATACGCCACCCGCAGATGGTTGTGTTTCCGTTGCATCGGGCGATCTCCTACAGAAGGATGTCACAGCAGCTCAGGACAAAGTTTTAACCAATGTGAAAGGGGCCACCCATGGGGAATTGATCCCATCATCTCCAAGCAAAACGAGTCATGGCTTCAGTGAGCAGACTTTGGTGACAAAGGAAGAGCCACGCTGCACAAGTGGCATGCTGCCTCACTCCTTCCCACAGGTAGCCCCAGCCTACGCTGGACAGGCTCCGTCTCACTCCTCCTCTGAGCTATCTACTCTCACCACAGGAGAGGCACAGTCTTCCTCCACCTCAGAGGTAAACCCAGTCTCCCTCAAAGAGACTCCATCTCACACCTATCTGGTGGAAGCATCCGTCTCCACCAGTGGCTCACCATCCCACTCCAATCCAGGGGCAGCACCACTCTCCACTGGTGGTATTCCAGCCCGCTCATCTCCAGGAGCCGCCTCATTATCTAGTACTGGGGCATCAAAACTTTCTCCTGTCCGTGTCCACGATCCTTCTAGTCCGCTTAGGAATAAGTCCTCCAAACCTCCACTCCCTACTCCCCCCAGATCTAATTTATACCCTGGCCCCCCTCCTTCCATTGATTCTGATTCTTCCTTCCGCCATGAAACAGCTTCGCTGGCCAGTTATAGGTCAAAGCCTCAGGCTCCGGATACACTCAGTTACTTGGACTCCGTGAGCCTAATGTCTGGTACAATGGAATCTCTCTCCATGCTTGACGATGCCAGCTCGTTGGGTTCTGACTCTGAAATCAATGGTATGACGTGTCGCAAGACCGATAAGTATGGCTTTCTAGGAGGAAATCAGTACAGCGGGAATGGGTGAGTGTGCTTTGTACTCTGTGTTTTTACATGTATGACAGTCTCAGCTCAGTGAGAAGTCTTTGCAAGGCAGGTGCTCTGGGCAATTGCTGCCTCTTGAGTTTCTCCACTGAACTCAACAAACCAGGAAATAGTGGAGCAGTAGACTGACAGTCAGGGGTGTAACTTCAGCAAGATAAAGTGGTTTAGGTTTTTGTAGTGTTTCTTTAACACCTTAAGGACGGCGGGCGTTTTTTTAGGTGGTCCTAAACACCAGCGGGCGGCATAGAACGTCCGCCGTCCTTTGTACTTACTGGATCTCTGCCGTTCCACCAATGGCGTGATCCTGGGGACTGCCTGGGAGCTCAGGCAGTCCCCCTCAGCTGGATCCTCGCGATCACATGGCTCAGCCGGATCCTCGCGTTAATCACATGGCTGGAATAGCCGGCTTATGCAGTGCCTGCATGGGACTGCCTGAGCTTTCATGCTGTCCCCGTCATGCTTGTAAAAACTTTGTAAAAGTTATAAAACAGCTATTAAGTAAAAAGTACTTAGATCATATATATAAAAGTACTTTTATATACACGTACATCATTAATAAAAGTATATTTAAATAATATATATAAAATTATATATTTATTAAAATACTCTTAGAATGATGTTAATTATATATATTAAAAATAATACATTTTAAAAAATTATACACCAGTTTTAATTTGTTCTAACTGGATTTTGATATTAATATACATACCGTATTTTTCGCTCCATAAGACGCACCTAGTTTTTAGAGGAGGAAACACAGAAAAAAAATATTCTGAACTGTTCCATAGTGTTTCTTACTATGGGACAGTTTGTTCAGAATATTTTTTTTTTCTCCCCTGTCCCATAGTGTTCCTTACCACCCATTCCCCTCTCCTGTCCCATAATGATTTTTAACCCCCCTCCCCTGTCCCATAGTTATCGTTAAACCCCCCTCCCCTGTCCCATAGTTATCATTAAACCCCCTCCTGTCCCATAGTTATGTTAAACCCCCTCCCTGTCCATGGTTATGGGTTAGAGCCCCTCCTGTCCCATGGATTATTTTAACCCCCTTTTCTCTGTCCCATAGTGATTGTTAGCCCCTCCTCCCTTGTCCCACGGTGGGTCCCCTCCCCTTCTGTCCACGGTGGTCCCCTCCCCTTGTCCCACCGTGGTCCCCCCTCCCCTTGTCCCACCCGTGGTCCCCCTCCCTTGTCCACCGTGGTCCCCCCTCCCCTTGTCCCACCGTGGTCCCCCTCCCCTTGTCCACGTGGTCCCCCCTCCCTTGATACAGTGGTCCTCCCCTTGTCCCACAGTGTAGTGCGTCCCCCCTCCCCTTGTCCCACAGTGGGGTCGTCCCCCCTCCCCTTGTCCCACAGTGGGGTCGTCCCCCTCCCCTTGTCCCACAGTGGGGTCCCCCTCCCCTTGTCCCACAGTGGGGTCGTCCCCCCTCCCCTTGTCCCACAGTGGGGTCGTCCCCCTCCCCTTGTCCCACAGTGGGGTCGTCCCCCTCCCCTTGTCCCACAGTGTCCCATAATTACTTACCTGTCTTGTAGCGTGGGCCGGCTTCACAGCGCGCTCCGCGGTACAGGAACTTCAATTTCAGGTTCCGGTTTCCGGCGGGACTGAAAGGAAGTGTGCACACCGGAACCTGAAATTGAAGTTCCTGTACCGGGCCGCGGCTGCACCATTGCGTAAAATGAAGTAAGCACTCTGATGTCCATAAGATGCACAGACATTTCCCCTCACTTTTGAAAAATACGGTATATATTAAATTCAAAATACATTTAGAATGACGTTCTAAATACATATATGTATATATAAATAAAAATTATTTTGTTTTATAATTCTTTTTTATTCAAATGTTTTCAATACATATATAAAATATCTCTTTCAAGCACAATACAATCACATAACAATGTATTAACAATTATCATATTCACATCATACAAAGTTTGTTCTTATACATTTTATAGCATCAAATTTGAAGGCCTTATTAACAAATTTGAGATAATTTACATTAATATATGTATTTATCTAATAGTTCTTTGTATGATCTTCACTCATCCTGGTTAATCATACATAAAATACACTCATACCGCCGGTCTGTTCGGTTACAGATGCTATTACAATGTAAAGGGAGTTGTATAATTTGTGGTAAACGTTTATCAAATGTTATGTCAAGTCCAAACCTCTTAAATTCCCACATATTTAATCCATCAAAAGTTAATATGTGTAACCATACTAAAGAGAAAGTAGAATCACTATTATAGAAATCAAAATTATTTATATACATATATATTTAAATTCTACAAATATACTTATACAGTATTTTTACATAATCCAAGTAATTTTATTAATTACAATTTGAGGGACCTGCCTGAATACCCAATTTGCCTCGCAAGCCCTATAATTAACACCATAAAACCTGTACATGGTGGGTACTGTTTTACTTGGGAGACTTCGCTGAACACAAATATTAGCATTTAAAACCAGTAAAACAAAAATATTGATATCGTCAGTGAAAATGCAGTTTTTTTTGCACTTTTCACACACACAAATGGTACTTTCACTGACGATATAATTGTTATTATACGTTTTACTATTTTAAAACTCATCGTGTTCTGTGAAGTCTCCCGAGTATAACAGTACCCCCCATGTACAGGTTTTATGGTGTTTTCATAAATGACTGAGTTAAATATAAGGCTTGAATTTCCTTTTTTTTCACATTGAAATTGCCCTGATTGGTTACGTTGCCTTTGAGACAGTTTTTTTTTTTTTTAGCCCAGGAATGAGAATTACCTCCATGATGGCATACTGTTTGCAAAAGTAGACCATCCAAGGTATTGCAAATGGGGTATGTCCAGTCTTTTTTAGTAGCCACTTAGTTACAAACACTGGCCAAAATTATCGTTCAAATCGTTTTTTTGCATTTTTCACACACATACAAATTAGAATGCTAACTTTGGCCAGTGTTTGTGACTAAGTGGCTACTAAAAAAGACTGTGCTATATTTAATCCTGTAACACCATAAAACCTGTACATAGGGGGTACTGTTTTACGCGTGAGACATCGCTGAATACAAATATGTGTATATTATTGCAGTAACAGCTAACAGTATTGTGACATTCACAGTTAAAATGCCATGCAGAACTAAAAAAAAAAAGTCTGATTTATTTTTATTTTATTCATATTAAATTATGTTCAGTAGACAAATATTTGATGTGACATGAAAGCCCTGTTTCTCCTGAATAAAATGATATATGATAAGTGTGGGTGCACATAATATGAAAGATGTGAATGACGCCTGAACAGACATACCGCGCAAATTCCAGGTTTTGTTTACGTTTGGTTTTGATCACAACTTGTACAATTGGCTCAGTCTTTAGGGGTTAAAGTACTCCTTTCCTTTTGCAGAGAGAGCAATATACCGGTGGAAATTGCACGGCAGAGGGAGCTGAAGTGGTTAGACATGTTTAATCATTGGGACAAGTGGCTGAGCCGACGCTTTCAGAAGGTGAGAGGCCACAGAATGTATGCTGAGGCTGCACATGGTCTAATTACAAAACGTTAATAAAAGAAATCAATAAAATTAATATTTAAGAACATCATTTACCTAAAATAAAAGGACATAAGGTGAGGGAGTGTGCAGAGTGATTCTGTAGAGAAATTATGTCAGGTACCTGTTTTGCCTTCCAGCGGGCATGTTAAAACGGCAGTCTAAGAAATATATTACAGCACTCTGTAGCTAATGCTGAATTGGGTCCCCTGAAAAGTGACTGGCCCCATCTCAGCTGCATTGATAATGCAAAATCACCACTTCCCCATTTTCAATGTCAGTTTTGTCCAACCTGGATAGCAGCGACTATTTTATAATATACAATTCCTAAAGAATTTAATATGAAACTGACTGGTGCCAGAAGACCCTGTGCAGCATAGCTAGTACAGTGTGTTATAGCAGCTAGGTCGGTTGGCGTAGTTAAATAGTCATCCTCTGATTGCTGATTCTCTGCTTTTAATAACAGGTAAAGCTCAGATGCCGAAAAGGCATACCATCTTCCCTGCGCTCAAAGGCCTGGCAACTCCTCTCCAATAGCCATGATCTGTTGCTCAAAAACCCTGGCAAATTTGAGGTAAGACACTAAGGGAAGAGTAGCAGGTAAAGACATCAGGCTGAGAGACAGGTAGTGTGGGGAAGGGGATGCCAGACAGTGGGGGGGCCCCCCAGACAATGGGAAGCATGCGGAAGGGCACTCAACATTGGGAGGCATACAGAGGGGCACCAGTCCTGCAGAAGTGGAGGGGTCGCCAGACTGTGTGTGGTGAGGTTGGGAGCTGGACAGTGCGAGGTGAGGTTGGGAGCTGGACAGTGCGAGGTGGGGTTGGGAGCTGGACAGTACGAGGTGGGGTTGGGAGCTGGACAGTACGAGGTGGGGTTGGGAGCCCCAGACAGTGTAAGGGATGAAGGGGTAGGGTGTGCATTACACAATGCAGAGCAGAATTGTGTTACGCACATGGGAAGTTATATTTCTAAGTCTTTGGGGATGCAAGAATGACAGTAATTCATTTTCTCTCCCCTTTGCAGGAGATGGAGAGGCAGCCTGGGGACCCCAAGTGGCTTGATGTGATTGAAAAGGATCTACACAGACAGTTTCCTTTTCATGAAATGTTCGCAGCCCGTGGAGGCCATGGGTGAGTTTCCGAGCGAGAAAGGAGATCTGTCAGAAAGTGATGAGATGTGGGCAGTTTTGGTAAAGACTATGTAGCATCAGGCAAAGGAGATGGCTCATTAATTGTCTTGTTATTTCGATATGGGTTGCTAGTGTGAAAGGTGCGCATAAAAGGTAGGGCAGGGAAGGAGCAGCACATGATCCAGAAGTGGAGTTTTGGATGACGGAAAAGTGACGGAGCAACATGCCAAAAAAAGAGTGAGCAGCAGAAGAGGCTGAGTCTTGTTGGGAGATGATAGCGGAGCGGAGTATGACATCAGACAGAGGAGATGACGGTAGGGCAGAGTATGGCATCAGACAGAGGAGGTTGGGCAGAGTATGGTGTGACAAATGCCCCTAGCCACAGGAGTTTGCCACGAGCTCCTGGAGGAGCCTGCTTGCCAGCCTCCTGCCCAAAGACTATGGGTCCCGCAGGGAAACCTGTAAAAGATTTCCCCTATGCTGTTCATGAACTGAACCGCCACGAGATATTGGGCGGCCATCTTGTTTGTACGAGTGCAGGCAGCGGTGTTTGGTCGTCGACTTCCTGGAAATGAAGACGGACACTAAAACTCCCAAACACCACTGGACTTCCATAATCGCCTGCGTTCGGTGTTATATAACTTAGTTCGGTTGGATCGTTCGTCTGGATGAAGGGAACAAGCTCCATGTCAATGGATTCTTTTCGGTAGTTTGTTCTCTTTTAAGCTACCAAACTTGACCGACTGCTACCACTTTTTGCCTGGAACTATTTTGGGCGGGAGCCTCGTGTGCGGTTGGTCAAACTATGACTTCCAAGAGAATCCCGAACCCCTGAAATGATCTGGGTGATTTTTGGATATGTTGGTCACCCAGATCGGGGCTATCAGGGGATATAACTTTTGTGGGGTCTTCATGTAGTTTTAAAGGTACTTTTGGAGTGTCTGTGAAATGTGTGTTTATTGTGCCCAGAGATAATTGAGTTTTGTGCAGGTCCTGTCTCCATTATCTCCCAGGCATAGGGGAGTGATTATGTAGTTTGTGTGGGAGTGTCAGGGGCATGCTTAACGGTGTATGAAATTGTATAAAAGCAGGCCATTTGGCCAGATTAAAACATCCCAGCTTGTACTCCCAGAACTATGTGTCGTCTGGTTACTGGGAGGGGAAAGGGCTAATAACTAATCACTGTTCCAGTGTGGAGGATTCAACGGGGAAAGTCCTTGTAAGGACTAGAGCTCCCAGGACTGAGTGTCATCCAGTGCCTGGGGGTGGATAGAGAGAGTTCCCCATTCGGCTTCAGCAGGGAGCTTTCCAGGGCCCCAGTCAAGCCACGACGACTGTGGGCAGAAGTGCTGCTGTTTGTCCCCTGTTCCAGCTAGGAAGCGGTCCTTGGTGGAGGTACCCAGCCATGGGTACAGGGAGCTCCGTTACATTTGGCATCAGAGGAGGTTTAGCGGAGTATGACATCAGACAGAGGAGATGATGGTGGGGTAGAGTATGACATCAGACAGAGGAGATGATGGTGGGGCAGAGTATGAGAGAAGAGGTTGAGCCTGTGGGCGGCTGTCCTAGTTGTGCTGCTTTCCTTTTACTCTCTGCTTCAATGTGGATTGTTCAGGAGAAGCCAAGAAGGGAATGTCTTGTTAATGAGAGTTGAATTCTTAATATTTGGATTGTATTTTGTCGCCCTTACAGGCAGCAGGATTTGTTCCGTATCCTGAAAGCTTACACGATTTATCGCCCAGAGGAGGGTTACTGCCAGGCTCAGGCCCCTGTTGCAGCTGTGTTACTAATGCACATGCCAGCTGAGGTCATTACATGCCACCTCAGCTCCTATACCCTGACTCCCACTACCCCAGCTCCTCGACCCTGACGTCCACTACCTCAGCCCCTCGACCCTGACGCCCACTACCTCAGCCCCTCGACCCTGACGCCCACTACCTCAGCTCCTCGACCCTGACGCCCACTACCTCAGCCCCTCGACCCTGACGCGCCCACTACCTCAGCCTCCTGACGAGCCTCCCTGACGCGCCCTCACCCTGGACAGCTGCACTACCTCAGACCCTGGACCCTGCCTACCTCAGCCCGCCACTACCGACCCTGGACGCCCTAGCTCTCATAAGCCTACTCTCACCCTGACGCCCACTACCTCAGCCCCTCGACCCTGACGCCCACTACCTCAGCCCCTCGACCCTGACGCCCACTACCTCAGCCCCTCGACCCTGACGCCCACTACCTCAGCCCCTCGACCCGGACGCCCACTACCTCAGCCCCTCGACCCGGACGCCCACTACCTCAGCCCCTCGACCCGGACGCCCACTACCTCAGCCCCTCGACCCGGACGCCCTCTACCCCAGCTCCTTCCCTACTGCTCCCAACCCAGCTCATCTTCCATGACTGCTCCCAACCCAGCTCATCTTCCATGACTGCCGCTATCCCAGTTCCTCTAAGCTAACTCCCACTACCCCAGTGCTTTCTTCCTAACCCAGCTCCTTTTAGTTTGTTGGTTATGTAGGGCCTCTCTCAGCCACTGATTTGGTGTTTCTTTCCTCCAGCAAGCCTTCTGGTGCCTTGTTCAGATCTGTGACAAGTACTTGCCAGGATATTACAGTGCCGGCCTGGTACGTTAACCACTATAATACACCACCATGTCTGTGACAAAGTAATCTCGACATCACAGGCTCTTTTTGATTTTGTTCCCACAGGAAGCAATCCAGCTGGATGGGGAGATCTTCTTTGCCCTCTTGCGTAGAACTTGTCCGATGGCCTATCGGCACCTCAAAAAGTTCAAGATTGATCCCATTCTTTATATGACAGAGTGGTTTATGTGCATCTTCTCTCGCACCCTTCCATGGGCTTCTGTCCTTCGTGTTTGGGACATGTTCTTCTGTGAAGGTCAGTGTGTGTAGCACACAGTATGAGGGAGGCTCGTATAACAGGCACACACTGACATTACTGGGGAACAGTGTATGAGGGGGCTTGCATTGATGACACACATTTTTCTCTCTGACATAGGGGTGAAGATTGTGTTTCGTATTGGCCTGGTGTTACTGAAACATACACTGGGATCGGTGGACAAGCTTCGGAGCTGTCAAGGAATGTATGAGACAATGGAGAAATTGCGCAGTCTGCCTACACATTGCATGCATGAGGACATTCTGCTCCCAGAGGTCAGGCTGATGTCCTCTCTGCACCGTACCTGCTTCATGCATCATTTTCCCCATAATCCATATATTTTGCCACACTGTGTGTTTTACCATAATCCATATACTTTGTCACATTCTCTGTTTTACCATAATCCATATATCTTCCCACATTCTGTTTTTTACCATAATCCATATATCTTCCCACATTCTGTGTTTTACCATAATCCATATATCATTCTGTGTTTTACCATAATCCATATATGTTGCCACACTCTGTGTTTTACCATAATCTATATATCTTCCCACACTCTGTGTTTTACCATAATCCATATATGTTGCCACACTCTGTGTTTTACCATAATCCATATATCTTCCCACACTCTGTGTTTTACCATAATCCATATATCTTCCCACATTCTGTTTTTTACCATAATCCATATATTCTGTGTTTTACCATAATCCATATATCTTCCCACATTCTGTGTTTTACCATAATCCATTCTGTGTTTTATATCTTCCCACACTCTGTGTTTTACCATAATCCATATATCTTCCCACACTCTGTGTTTTACCATAATCCATATATCTTCCCACACTCTGTGTTTCAGCGTAATTCCTGGGTTTCTTTGCACTGTATTTTTTTAGTGTATCCTCATTCTTCCTTGTGGTGTATAAATATATATTATTTTTTTTTGCCCAATCCTTGTGTCTTCCCATGCTGTATGTTTTTGTGTCATCGCCAGAAGTTTTTTTTGTATGTTTATCTTAATTGGATTTAGTCCTGACTTTCACTGGAAAACTTTGAAGTTTCTTCATACTTTGACTATTCTTACCTACACTGATTCTCTTTTTCTCTAGGTGAGCTCTCTCCCTGTCACAGATGCTCTGATAGAACGTGAAAGCAATACGCAGCTGCGCAAATGGCGAGAAAATCGTGGAGAGCTACAATATCGACCATCCCGTAGGATGCATGGGGCCCGCCACCTTCATGAAGAGAAAGTGCGTCTTAATCCAGCCCTCAGTGGCAGCCGGCTCAGCCTCTCAAGTCTTATGCGACCTTCTCCTCCCTCCACACCTACCCTGGTTACACATCCTGGGTCTGTGGTAGTGTCAGAAGGCCTTCGGCCAGCGTTGCCATCTCCCACATCCAACAAGGCTCCACTTGGACCACCAAAAGCAGAGAATAAGAAGGTAAAAGAGAAACAAAGGGAAGAAGATAAAAGACGTGAGAAAGAAGAGAGAGAAAAGAGGGAGCGTGACAAAAAAAGAGAAAAGGAGGAGAGAGAGAGAGAAAGAAAGAGAGAAAAGGAAAGGGAGAAAGAGGAGAAGCGAGCACTGAAAGAGAGAGAGAAGACGGACGCTAAACTGAAGAAAGAACGCAAGTTTTCCTTCAGACGAAAAGAACAGTCTTCCCCTGCGTCTGACCTGCCTCAGAAAAGTGGCAAAGGCTCAGCAGACGGTGAAGAGGGGGCAGTTCATGACACCTATTTCTGAAAGGAACTTTCCACTCTCATTGAATCGGGGGTCTTGCGTTGAAAAGCAGAAGATTGGGGAGGGGGGACTCTATTAATGGTTGCAATTTTGTCTTGTGTAAAAAGGCATTCCTCTACCCTAACAGTTATTCAGCACTAATGTGTGCCATCCCCCCACACCCCTCCTGGGAACTGTGATATTCATAGGAAGGCACTCCAGGTGCTGAACATTATGGGATATTAAAGGGAGCGGATGATTGGACAGGCAAAGGAAAATACTTCCCCAGGACAAATGGCGAGAGGGCTACTGGATATGCATGTATCAAGCAGTACCGATTGGATGGAGATGAACTGGCACTTCCTGTAGGGAAATAGGCAGATGATTGGACAGATTGGAGCGGATACCTCCCACTAGGAGTGAGGAAGCAGGAAGGGGACATATTAAGGGTGCAGAGCATCTTTACGGATGGGGGTGTTGTGTTCTCTGTTTGTTGATTTTTGATTATTACAGAAATTGAGATCTCTATCATAGGAAACCCACATGGCCGGTCTGTATCTCATTAATATCCCAGCAGCCCCTGTGTTCTCAATCAGTGTTTACATAGCTTTATGCAGTGTGTCGTGGCAGCAAAGCTCAGCATACACATTGGCTTCTTCACCCCGCTTAAGCACAAACACGTAGTATAATGCCCAACACTCATACACCCAGCATGCTCTGCTACTGACTTTTACACATATTATGGCAGGCTCCCACCCACACCCAGCATGCTCTGCTACCGACTTTTACATATATTATGGCTGGCTCCCACACACACCCAGCATGCTCTGCTACCGACTTTTACACATATTCTGGCAGGCTCTGCTACCGACTTTTACACATATTATGGCAGGCTCCCACACACACCCAGCATGCTCTGCTACCGACTTTTACACATATTATAGCAGGCTCCCACACACACCCAGCATGCTCTGCTACCGACTTTTACTAATATTATGGCTGGCTCCCACACACACCCAGCATGCTCTACTCTCCCATGCACCCAGCATGCTCTGCTACCGACTTTTACACATATTATGGCTGGCTCCCACACACACCCAGCATGCTCTGCTACCGACTTTTACACATATTATGGCTGGCTCCCACACACACCCAGCATGCTCTGCTACCGACTTTTACACATATTATAGCTGGCTCCCACACACACCCAGCATGCTCTGCTACCGACTTTTACTAATATTATGGCTGGCTCCCACACACACCCAGCATGCTCTACTCTCCCATGCACCCAGCATGCTCTTCTCCCGACTCTTATACATATTATATCTGGCTCTCCCATGCACCCAGCATGCTCTGCTACTGACTTCTACACATAGAATGCTTACTCTGCTTTCCAACACACCTACACACAGAGTGCTGTGCTATATGCCATGCAGCCCTCCCTCCCTGTACCTGTCTGTGTTTACAGCCTGCCCGCCATTGTGGGCCCAGCTCCAAGAAGTGAAAGTCATAGTGTCTTGCTTACTTCTGTTCGCTGCATGTTTATAGTGCACACTCCAACCCCTCCGCACACATTTCAGGTATTTCTTTCTAATTTGTATATATTTTGGTCAAGCATCTTTCTCGTTTTTAAATAACGCCCTCTACATTTATGTACTGTATTCAGAAATCTCAGCACTAACAACCCCTGACTTGCAGAGCGCCAATAACTGTACCTGAGAACAAGCATGTGCGCTGTGTATTAATCTCGGTGTGAGAGAGGCCACGTGTGTGCTGAGTTTACTCACGCACTGTCACGTCTGTGTGCTTGCTTGTTGTGCTGTGCGTGGACTCCTGCTTTGCAGCACTGTTTGCTTTGCATTGCTCTGTGGACTCCTGCTTTGCCGCTCTGCATTGCTCTGTGGACTCCTGCTTTGCCGCTCTGCATTGCTCTGTGGACTCCTGCTTTGCCGCTCTGCATTGCTCTGTGGACTCCTGCTTTGCCGCTCCGCATTACTCTGTGGACTCCTGCTTTGCAGCCCTGCTTGTTTCGCATTGCTCTGTGGACTCCTGCTTTGCCGCTCTGCATTGCTCTGTGGACTCCTGCTTTGCTGCTCTGCATTGCTCTGTGGACTCCTGCTTTGCCTGCTTCGCATTGCTCTGTGGACTCCTGCTTTGCCGCTCCGCATTACTCTGTGGACTCCTGCTTTGCAGCCCTGCTTGTTTCGCATTGCTCTGTGGACTCTGCATTGCTCTGTGGACTCCTGCTTTGCCTGCTTCGCATTGCTCTGTGGACTCCTGCTTTGCCGTTGCCACATTGCTCTGTGGACTCCTGCTTCTGCAGCCCTGTTCCACATTGCTCTTTGGACTCCTGCTTTGCAGCCCTGCTTGTTTCGCGTTGCTCTGTGGACTCCTGCTTTGCCGCTCTGCATTGCTCTGTGGACTCCTGCTTTGTCATTCCACATTGCTCTTTGGACTCCTGCTTTGCAGCCCTGCTTGTTTCGCATTGCTCTATGGACTCCTGCTTTGCCGCCCGCGTTGCTCTGTGGACTCCTGCTTTGCCGCCCGCGTTGCTCTGTGGACTCCTGCTTTGCCGCTCCGCATTGCTCTGTGGACTCAATGTCTGTTGCTCTGCTCATTTATTTCTCCAAGCTTGTTTTTTCCAGGAATGCGTCAGTTTTCAATTCTGTGCTTGTACCTAGTCCCCTTGTCTTTTTGTTTGCCCTGTGCACTATGTGTAAGGGCATCATCAGTATGCTCTTGCAGCCGAAGGATGAACCCCACGGCCTCCGTAAATGGGTGGCCTCGGAGAGTGTTACGGCATTATTAGTCTATCAACTTTATGTATATTGGTGTGCTGCGCATGGCACCGCTCTGCTTACTGTGCAGCTAGATGCAATGCTGTGCTGCACATTATGCTGTGTGTCTGATACAGACTGTTCTTCAGGGCACGTCAGCCTCTCTTGCACTGATAAATAGAACTGGATCATTTTAATATTCTGTATTTGTTAGGGAGAATTTGAGGTGCAGATTGCAATGGGGGTTTCCCTATATTACTGTTCCTCTTTTCTCCCAATTACATAATTACAAACGTTAAACCCTGAGCAGAGTTTGTGGTCTGTTGTGCTGTGTACACTGTGGGGTTTCCTGGGTGGGCAGCGGGTGAATGCACTGTGCAGAGCTGAATAGGTGGGCAGCGGGTGAATGCACTGTGCAGAGCTCAATGCAGGGATGGTGAGGAAGACCTTTCTTTAGGTTTTCTGTTTTTAGGTATCTTTCTGGCATCTTCTTTATTTTTAGGGATATTCAGTACAATACAAGAGGTGACCGTGCAGGACCAGACAAATAACTGTAGTATATGCTGGACAGTGAGAGAATATAGATGATAGGAATTTAACATTTGGTTCATACATATATTTCTAGATCTTACACTAGTAATACTATCACTGTCAAAGCAGGTCCCAGCCTGTGATGCAGTTTAATGTCAGTAAGACAAGTTAGAATATATTGCTATTGGATACGTGTGGCTGAATAATAAGGGTAACTAACACTATCCGGCTGCCCTGTTAGAGAGAGTAGTAGAGGTGGGTTATTGAAAGTGGTATAGGTAGGTAGCCTAGGTTGGGTTATTGAAAGGAGTAGAGGTAGGTAGCCTGGGAAGGGGGCAGGGTGGACTATTGAAAGGGGTAGAGGTAGATACCCTCGGAAGGGATAGAAGTAGGTTGTTGAAAGGGGTAGAGGTAGGTAGCCTGGGGAGGGACAGAGGCGGGTTGTTGAAAAGGGTAGAGGTAGGTAGCCTGGGGAGGGATAGAGGCGGGTTGTTGAAAAGGGTAGAGGTAGGTAGCCTGGGAAGGGGCATGGTGGGTTATTGGGAGGGGTAGAGGCAGGTCTTTGAAAGGGGTGAGTTACTGAAAGGGGTGGAGGTGGGTAGCCTGGGAAGGGTTGGTAAGGGAGAGGGGTAGAGGCAGGTAGCCCGGGGAGGGACATTTTGCGTTAGAGATCTAGATTGTGTAACAGACAAATGTACATCTTTATTTTTATATATATATATTTATATACATTTTAGATTCACAACGTAATCAGACTTGAGTCCCGTAAAGACAGAATCTCCTCTCCTAGCCATTGGTGAAGGGCTCCAAACTCTCCCTCCCATGCTTGCTCCTCTGACACCCATTCTGAAGGTGTTCCTGTGAGTGCCATATACTGCCCTCGTACCTCCCACAGAAGTGCCCTTGTGTACCCGAGGTTGGCACTGAGTAAAGCCCTCACCCATAGTTCTAGGTCCTGTTGACATTCGGCGGCCATTTTGTAGACCCTGGACACTGTACAGAGGCAGAAACCATATTCCATGCGCGAAGTCCTTAAGTAGACTGAGCTGCCTTCTAACAAAATGAGGCCCAGGGGCTGCGGGTCTCCTGCTCGCTCCCAGTATAAGAGAAGGTTTCCGCACAGCCAGAACCAGCGGCGTTGGTAGGATGCATGGCGACTCCCCTTCTTCAGCAGGTAGCCCTGTTTCTCTGGGCGTGATGCGGTCAGACGGGAGCTGACCGCTAGCTTCATGTATGGACCTGGAATGGTAAGGGTGTTTTGTTAATTCAAATTCCATTAAACTGAATTTAATGCAAATACATTTTACCATCCTTAATTCTGTCTTAAAACGCTCTTGAAGGCCACTAGCAGTCCAGGGTTTTATGGATGTCACAGCTGTATTGCAGAGATAGGACTGCTAACAACTGGGGATATAGTCTTTCTTCACACACCCAGAACCCAGCAATACGGAATCTCTCCATTCATCTCCCACCAACATTCAGACCTCACTTCACACACCAGGAACCCAGCAATACGGAATCTCCCCAATCATCCCTGTAACGGAGCTCCCTGTACCCCTGGCTGGGTACCTACAACCAAGGACCGATTCCTAGCTGGAATAGGGGACAAATCGTAGCACGTATGCACACAGTCGTCGTGGCTAGTTGTGGGAGTACAAACTGGAATGTTTTAATCTGGCCAGATGGCCTGCTTTTTTACAATTTCAGACATTGTTAAGCATGCCCCTGACACTCCCACACAAACTAGATAATCCCTCCTCTATGCCTGGGAGATAATGGAGTCAGGAACTGAACAAAACTGAATTAGCACTAGGCACAAAAAACACACATTTCACAGACACCCCAAAAGTACATTTTAAACTACATGTAAACCCCACAAAAGTAATAACCCCTGATAGCCCTAATCTGGGGCTCGGAATTTTCATGGAAGTCATAATCTGACTGACCGCACACGAGACTCCTGCCCAAAATAGTTTTGTAGCAGTCGGTCAAGTTCGGTACCTAAAAAGAAAACGAACTACCGAACAGAATCCATCGACATCGTGGAGCTTGTTCCCTTTATACAGACGAACTAACCCACCAAACAGTGCTCTTCTATGTTATATAAAACCAAACGCAGGCGATTATGGAAGTCCAGCAGTGTTCAGGAGTTTCAGTGTCCGTTTTCAGTCCCATGAACTCGACGACCAAACACCGCTTACTGCATTGGTGCAAACAGAAGAACCATTGGAACACTGCGGTTAGGATCATTACAATGTGTGACGGTAGTATAGGGTATCACCGTCAGGCATTCCCTTCTTCCCATAAAAGAAAAACACCCAATATTCCACGAGTAGAAATATCCCTGGAATCGCCGAATAATCCACACATGAGCCAAAGCTTAGTGCTGGAACAAGACTGATTTACTGGCACACAGAACTCACAATTTATGCAACACAAAACTCCTCCTCTGGGCCAGGCTAGATAATTGAGTTTCTACAATACACAAAGCTCAATTATCTGCTGGCCAGAAATAATACAGTTTTTACAGCATTCATAACTTCTAAATTATACATCACATTCACATAAAAATTATATATTCACAATCAGTCCATTCAGGGAAACAACATATCAAAAAATGGCATGAATCAGACCAGGGGTTCAGAAGTTCGTAAAGTACCTTTTGGGGCCTGGCTGGCAGCATGGATATCTGGCCCAAACCGGTTTTACAGAGCCCTCTATCTTGGAGACAATGGGGAACATAATCCAATTATATCCAGGGATAGAAGCAGACTCCAGTAAAACACAAAAGGATACAAAAATACATAACTCCTATCATACTGAATTGAACGGGCCAAATCTCACAGGGTCCATAGTCACAGGGCAAGAGGTGGGCAAGCAGTCCTCTCCAGGCACAAGTGGCAAAGGGCACTTCGTCACACAATGTATCCATTAGGTTTAACAAGCTCCCGGATGGTCCATATTTCGTTGTGCGGCTGTTTGGTTCCAAAATAGTCTTTTACAGGTTTCCCTGCAGGGCCCATTGTCTGTGGGCAGGAGGCTGGCAAGCAGGCTCCTCCAGGAGCTTGTGGTAAACACGTGGGAAGGGGAGTTTGTCACATATCTTTCCCCTCCCAGGGAGACTATCCAGACCTCCAATCCGTCTGGGTCTATGATAGTCTGGTGGCCTTTCCCAAAAGGTGCTTATAAGAGTAGAACAGGTCTGTTTAATGGAAGCAAGCACTCACAATTCATACAATTCCTCAGGCCAGAGGCACACCCCCTGGACCTGATGGTACACAGGCACACAAGGGACATTCAAGGGACACACAAGCCAATCAAAACAATACAACAATGTCCGACACTCCCACATACAGCACACAAGCCCTCCCCTCAGCCTGGGATATAATTAAAGCAGCTACTACAATAATCTGAATATCCACAGGCAGAAAAACACATTTCCCCATGGATTTAAAGGGGCAGAAAAAGTGTTTTAAAATCAAATAATATGCCCAAATAATGCTTTTAAAGGGCAATACATCCCAGGGGCCATAGTCACAGGGCAAGAGGCTGGCACGCAGGCCTCTCCAAGTACAAGTGGTGAGGTTACTTTCGCCACAGACAGCACGAACGCCGCTTAAACCTCCAACATCATGGAAGTTCGTGAAAAACCACACGAACAGAACGGTATTCTGAGAATATATAGGAGGACCTATGTTGAATTAGCGCTCCGCTACAGTCTGCAATCTAAGGGTGTCACTTCCATATGCTCCTGTAGTGGCTGCACAAACATCCAAAATCCTTCCTGATACCAGCCACAGTGCCTCAGACCCCTTATATAGCTCGACCTTCTCCGGCCCAAATAATGACAGCAACGTGTATGTATGCATGTTCTGGCATCATATGACCACAACCAATCCATTACTGCGCTCCTAGGACTATAAAGGCTCATTTTGGCTTTTGTACTGTGCCCCGTCATGGTTATCTGACAGCGCATTGTTTATTTTGATTCTATTTTGACCCTGGCTTGTACCTTGACTATTCTGACTTCTGTATTCCTTGACCTCTGGCTTGTCCTACCATTCACATACACTCAGTTTCCTGACCTCAGACTGTTCTGTACTGTTTTATTTACTAATGTTAAATCCAGCCAGGTTTGCTAATACGGTTTCGCAGAAAGTTATATTTTTGTTAAGTTCTGCTTGTTGGGTTTTCGTAAAATCCTGAGTGAATTAAAGGGACACTGTAGGCACCCAGACCACTTCAGCTTGTTGAAGTATTCTGGTGCTGTGACCCTTTTGCACTTAGTGCTGTAATGTCTACCAGACAGCCACTGGGGGTGCTTCCGGAATCATAAAGGACTTTTGGTCAGTTATCTGATGCTGAATGTCCTCACGGATCTCCAGCGTCAGATTTAAAAAAAATAATGCTTTCATATGGGGAGGTCTGTAGCGGAGCTGCAATATTAAATCCCAATATCTCCGCTGGTAAAAGAAGATAATCCAGGGAAAACGCTGAAAATGAAGGCAATATCCCTAACCCCCCAGTAATCGGACGAAACACTGTTCTGGGAGTCAACTGCCGATTTTATTCACAAGCTCCAGTATTTATGTGGTTCCCTATGCAAGGGGTTTCCTTAATCACTTCACAGGGTGTGGCGAAACCAACCTCGCCACTGGGCATTGGAGAAGACTGATTGCCAGCCTCCTGCCATGTGACTATGGCCCCTGGGATGTATTGCCCTTTAAAGACATGATTTGGGCATAAGGGATTTGTGTTGTGCTGCTGCTGGCCCTTTAAGAACCATCTGGGGACATACTGTGGAGTTACTGGGTGGCCACCATTCCCTGTATCAGAAGCACTTGGTGAGAACAATGGATGAAGCACATGGTGAGAACAATGGATGGCGGCCATTTTAACTCACAGACACTGTGTGGACTTTTCAACACGGTGCCATCTCGCCAGTATTTGGTGCACAGAGACATCGTGTGGTGGTTTTGGACTATACAGCAGGGGACACATTATACAGTGATTGTTTTTCATTTAGCCTGTATTTGTTCTGCAGAATCTGCATTAAACTGTATTTTCCAAAGTACTGAACGGATCTGGGTGAATTTTGGATATGTGGTTCACCCAGATCCCCCGGTTCCCAGGATATACTTTTTATGGGGTTATTGCATGTTTTGGGGTCCCTGTGATGTGTTTTATGTTACTGTATTTTTCCTGCATGTGATAATTAGGTTAACCCATTGTGTGCCATAATTAGATCACAAGCAGAGGGGAGGATTTTGTGTATAATTGCTGGGAGTGTTTTCTGTAATGTACGTGTGTTATTGGTTGTTCTGTAAAACCCTGTGGGCAGTACTAAGTTTGTGGATTGGGAATAAAAGAGGCTGTATGTGCCAGTACAGACAGTTCCTGCTTAACCCTCAAAGTGAAGTGTCGTCTCATTATTGGGGGAGGATTCATGGTATGCTGTTCCAGTTTGACTGCTAGGAGTGTAAACCTATTTGCATGGTTTTTCCTATTTGGCTGTATACAACATTCATATGCTCCTACAGTTCGGTGGTTTTGGTGTCTGCTGCAGTGCTTGGAGTCCTCAGGAAGTGCTAGGAGCATCCTTCAACGGAGGTACCCAGTTGGGGTGCCAGGTGATCCGTTACACAGGGGTTATACAGTAGAGGACTACATGGGGAACTGAACATGCAGGACATTTCTCCCACCATGCACTGCTGTACGAGAGGGATATTCCCATAAGAATATCCTGTTAAGTGAATTATCCCTCCGTACAGCATAAAAATCTGTAACTTATACTTTATTCGTGCCATTGTACCGAATGACCGATCGTCAGATAACTGGGGTCTGAGCGCACACTTTGTGAAAGTACCGCTCAGATCCCAGCACAATTAACCGAACGCCGCATAAATAAATTTTAACATCAGCTCTTTAGAAAAGTCATGAATACATAGGTTGGTTAGAAAGACCGGTGCCCCCTGAATGACCTGGAAGTCCAGCAGTGTTCGCGCCGTCGAGTAGCAGATTTTCGTTCCAGGCCCTCGACTACCAAACAGCGTTGGGCTAAAAGGAAATCCAAGTTGGCCGCCGCCGCGTGGTCAGTATCCAAACGTCGGCCACCCTGGGAATCAATTAGTAGTCGATTTGATACAATGTTGCAATCGGTTAATGGGAGCCACACGACCCCCTGTGTGTGGGCTCCGATTCGGTACTTTGTTCGTTTCACGAACAGTGTTGAAAGTCACTGTTCATGAAACTACCATATGAATGCTAGCGGCTTTCGTGCCACTTAAATACGAATGCCTTCTATTACAGTTATAAGCGAATACATAAAATCACATAAGTTGACCAGCTTTTCTAGGACAACCCTTAGACATATAACAGCATAATCTGAAGTGGCTAGATTTGCCACAAGGTCTAATGCACGTGGCCCTTGCCGCGCATTAGGTCTACCCTGACGTCAGCGGGGAAGGAGCGTGGGCGGAGCTGGATTCAGACAACTGAAGGGGTTTTAACCCCTTCAGTGATATGGGATGGGGGCACTCCAGGATTTTCCAGTGCCAGGAAAATGGCTTTGCGTATTATATTCTGCGGAGTACAAAATAACACTTCATACACTGCGTACTCTGTGTGTCACTGTACCCCTGATCGAGGACACCCAGAAGATAAGAGCTTGACGGGAGGACAAATCATCCCATATTCGAGCTTTCGTCTCTTTTAATGATTCTCATTCATATTTACTCATGTTACATGTGAACACTGGTTTTAACTTGTTTTATGAAGGGTTACATCCCATTTCTCTAGACTGCTAGTCTCACTTCTCTAAATAGAAATGCTAGTTTCTTTCTCTGTGTCCTCTTTCTTGCCCTCTCTGTTTTTATTTGACCCCTCTATGTCTCTCACATTATCTCACCCCATCTCTCTCAGTTCCCCCCAAATGAAGCTGTAACGGACCGTTTTGCTCACCAGAGGTTAAAAACCGTTTAGGCAATATTCCCCTTTCCAGATACACCGACAGCTACTGTAAGCACCGATCTCCCGAACTGGAAACACATGAACACTGGAAATATCCGAACAGGAAAACCATACGAAAGGGTTACACACCTGGCAGTCAGCATACAATCCAATTCCCCCAATAACGAGACGACACTTCGTTTGAGGGTCAAACAGAATCTGACTGTACTGGCACATACAGCCTCTTTTATTCCCAATTCACAAACTTAGTACTGCCCACAGGGTTTTACAGAACAACCAATCAATCTGTACAATACACACAGACACTCCCACACAAAATCCTCCCCTCTGCCTGTGATATGATTACTGAACACAATGGTTAATCTATTTATCACAGACAGAGAAATACAGTTTCATAAAACACATCACAGGGACCCCAAAACATGCAATAACCCAATAAAAAGTAACCGGTGGATCTGGGTGAACCACATATCCAAAATTCACCCAGATCCGTTCAGTACTTTGGAAGATGCAGTTTAATGCAGATTCTGCAGAACAAATACAGGCTAAATGAAAAACAATTACTGTATAATGTGTCCCCTGCTGTATAGTCCAAAACCACCGCACGATGTCTCTGTGCAACAAATACTGGCGAGATGGCACCGTGTTGAAAAGTCCAAACAGTGTCTGTGAGTTAAAATGGCCGCCATCCATTGTTCTCACTATGTGCTTCATCCATTGTTCTCACCATGTGCTTCTGATACAGGAAATGGTGGCCACCCAGTAACTCCACAGTATATCCCCAGATGGTTCTTAAAGGGCCAGCAGCAGCATAACACAAATCCATTATGCCCAAATCATGTCTTTAAAGGGCAATACATCCCAGGGGCCATAGTCACATGGCAGGAGGCGGGCAGCCAGGCCTCTCCAATGTCCAGGGCCGAGGCGGCTTTCGCCACAGAAGCCTCCTGTCCTCTCTGTTGTCCCCATTCGCTGACTCAATCTCCAACCTCTATGCTTTATCACTTTGTGTGTGCCCCCTTTCTCTGTATCTATCTTGCCCCCTTTCTACCCCCCCCACTCCCCCCATTCCCAGGTCCCCCCATTCCCAGGTCCCCCACCCTTCAAACCATCTCCCTCAATGTCTGGATTTGAAGAGTTGTCTCCTTCCTTACCGTCTATGTCCTGGGCTGGAGACTCTCACTTCCCTAATTCAGCTTTGGTCCTCTGACTGGCCTAGAGGGAGTGTCTGTCACACACTGAGTGTCACTCACTGCAGTCCTGCTGGAATCTCACCTGTGGGCACACAGACACATTATGGTCAGTACTCAACTCACTCCAAGAGAGCAGAATAACCCCATATACCAGGATAGTCCTGAAATGGACAGTGAGTAGCATGCACCACTTAGAATGCCCTCTGTACCTGGCATCCACTGTGCCCCCCGTTACCAGTCTGAATGCCCTCTGTACCTGGCACCCACTGTGCCCCCCCGTTACCAGTCTGAATGCCCTCTGTACCTGGCACCTACTGTGCCCCCATTACCAGTCAGAATGCCCTCTGTACCTGGCACCCACTGTGCCCCCGTTACCAGTCAGAATGCTCTCTGTACCTGGCACCCACTGTGCCCCCGTTGCCAGTCAGAATGCCCTCTGTACCTGGCACAGAGTACAGAGTCTGAATGCCCTCTGTACCTGGCACCCACTGTGCCCCCCGTTACCAGTCTGAATGCCCTCTGTACCTGGCACCCACTGTGCCCCCATTACCAGTCAGAATGCTCTCTGTACCTGGCACCCACTGTGCCCCTTGTTACCAGTCAGAATGCCCTCTGTACCTGGCACCCACTGTGCCCCCGTTGCCAGTCAGAATGCCCTCTGTACCTGGCACAGAGTACAGAGTCTGAATGCCCTCTGTACCTGGCACCCACTGTGCCCCCCCATTACCAGTCAGAATGCCCTCTGTACCTGGCACCCACTGTGCCCCCCGTTACCAGTCAGAATGCCCTCTGTACCTGGCACCCACTATGCCCCCCGTTACCAGTCAGAATGCCCTCTGTACCTGGCACCCCCTATAGACAGAGGAAGATGGGGAGGGCATATATAACAATATGTAATGTCTGACCTGTAATACGTTGCAGAGCCCTTTGCAGAGCAGGGGGAGGAGTATTCTATTTGTGTCACCTGCCACCTGTGTGACACACCTGGTTGGGGGAGGGGCAGTGTTCAATCTACATTATACAGTGCAGAGCTCAGCCATAGAATAGATTGTATTATACACAATAAGCACAATTATTGTATATAGTATGAGTGCAGAGCATTATATAGAGAGCAGAGCATTCTATAGAGTGTGACTGCAGAGCATTATATAGGGTGCAGAGAATTATATAAAATGCATAGAATTATATAGAATACAACTGCATTAAACAGTATTAGTGCTCAGTATTACTGCCCAGTATTATATAGTTTTAGTGCAGAGTATTATATAGTAGTATATAGTATTAGTGCAGAGTATTATAAAGTATTAGTACAGAGTATTATATTGTATTATATAGTTGTTACGGCACCCCCGGGCATAAAAGCGTTAAACCGCCGTTTAGTCGATCTTCCCCTTCCAGAGATACAGGCACAGCTATTGCAGAACACCAAACTCGAGAAACTGGATACAAGGGAATGCTCCAAACTCCCGAATTGGATACAAAGTAGCACTCCAAACTCCCGAACTGGAACCTCACGAATAGCTACTAGCAGACGAACAGGAAAAGCACCCAAGCGGCTTACACTCCTGGCAATCAGTCTCTAACAGCATACAGTAAATCCCCCCAAGAACGAGACAGACATGTATCACATTCAGACACACAGAAGTTAAACATCCCCACAATGCATCCTAATTTCCCTCCCTCTATCCTGGAGATAATTGGGAAGTAATCCAATTATCTCCCAGGACAGAGGCAAAACTCCATTATACACGTGGGGACACAAAGACAGTAAAATACATTAAAACATACAGTGTTACATTTAATACATAAAATCCATACATGTCATATATCCCCAGATAGCTGGGATCTGAGCGCACATAACTACCGAATCGCGCTCAGATCCTATTCACACAGTTTAATTGTCATGGAGCCCAAATCTTTAATTACATGAATAGGCTCCATGGCATAGCTATCTGGGTTAAAACATTCACTGAAGTAAAGTCCCGATCAATTCAGCGTTCGGCTAAACAGCCACGAATAGAAGCAAGGAAGGCCAGAGGCTCAGCGGTGCCTGCACATAAAAGTGTCCACTTTCAGTGCACTGATTCCGGGCTGAGCACCGCTGGCCGTCCGGGGAGCTCCAAAACACCGCCACCTAGCGGCCGCTAAGTGTAACCGCGGCCACACAGTAACAGTCAATTAAGCTGCAGGTTAACCGCAGCTACTGGGTGGTCAACTGACGGCACACACCAGCTTCAGGGAGGTGAATTGAAGGCACATGCCAGCTTCCCGGTGGTCGTGCCTTCGGTATTTTGTCCGGTAGATAAAATCTACTGAATGCCCTGGCAGAAAGGCATGAATAAGCCTTTCTGCAGGGAAATTAAAGTATTTTAAAAGTCCGGTCCATAGTCTAAAGGGAGCAGGTGGGCAACCAGGCTCCTCCAATGCAATGTGGCGAGATTGCTCTCGTCACAATAGTATTAGTACTCCCCAGATAGCTCAGGTCTGAACGCACATTATTACTGAATGGCGCTCAGAACACACACGTAGAGTTCAATTGCCATGGAGCCAAAGTCTTTTATTACACGAATAGGCTCCATGGCATAGCTATCTTTGTTAAATGAGTTAATTCAGTAAATCCGAGAATCTACCGAACGCCAGGGCAGAAATACATGAATAGACCTTTCGACATAGGAAAATAAAGTATTTAACCCCTTAAGGACCAAACTTCTGGAATAAAAGGGAATCATGACATGTCACACATGTCATGTGTCCTTAAGGGGTTAAATGCCGGTCCATAGTCAAAAGGCAGCAGGCAGGCAACCAGGCTCCTCCAATGCACAGTGGCGAGATTGTATTAATACTAGATGTGACAAGACCAGAGTGTGGCGAAACCGGCCTCGCCGCGTGTCCTTGGAGGGGGCTGCTTGCCCACCTCTTGCCTTTGGACTATGGACCAGACTTTATGTGAATGTGTTAACCCAGATAGCTATGCCATGGAGCCCATTCGTGTAGTTAAAGACTTCGGCTCCATGGCAATTGAACTGTGTGAATAGGATCTGAGCGCTATTCGGTAGTTTTGTGCGCTCAGATCCCAGCTATCTGGGATATGTGAAATGTCTGTGTGTTATGTGTAAAAGGTGACTTTATGTATTTTAAAGTGTTTTATGTCTTTTTGCAACCATGTGCTCAATGGAGTCTGCCTCTATCCCTGGATAATTGGATTACTTTCCCCCATTGTCTCCAGGATAGAGGGCTCTGTAAAACCTATTTGAGCCAGATAGCCATGTGCCAGCCAGGGCCCAAAAGATACTTTTACTAACTTTTGAACCCCTGGTCAGATTCATGCCATTTTTTAAATATGTTGTTCCCCTGAATGGATTGATTGTGAATATGTAATTTTATGTGAATGTGATGTACGGTTTTAGAGTTATGAAAGTTGGGTAGAAAGTATGTTTTAACTGTATGTGTAATTGAGTTTCCTCTCAGGATAAGGGGAGGGAATATGTGGGATGTAACTGATATGTGATTGGTTGTTTTATACCTCCCTGTGGGCGGTCCTGTATGTGAAAGGCTGTAATTAAAACCAGGCTGGGTGTGCCAGCACAGGAGTTCCTGTTTAACCCTCAAAGTGAAGTGTCGTCTCATTATTGGGGGAAGGATTTATTGTATGCTGTTCCAGTTTGACTGCTAGGAGAGTAAACCTATTCGTATGGTTGCTATTCAACTGTCTACAGCATTCATATGCTTGGGAGAATTTATTTGTTTCTCCGGTTCGGTGATTGTGGTGTCTGCCAGAGTGCTTGGAGTCCTCAGGAAGCGCTAGGAGCATCCTTCAACGGAGGTACCTGTGGCGGAACCAACCTCGCCACTATGCACTGGAGAAGCCTGGTTGCCAGCCTCCTGCCATGTGACTATGGCCCCTGGGATGTATTGCCCTTTAAAGACATGATTTGGGCATAATGGATTTGTGTTGTGCTGCTGCTGGCCCTTTAAGAACCATCTTGGGACATACTGTGGAGTTACTGGGTGGCCACCATTTCCTGTATCAGAAGCACATGGTGAGAACAATGGATGGCGGCCATTTTAACTCACAGACACCGTGTGGACTTTTCAACACGGTGCCATCTCGCCAGTATTTGGTGCACAGAGACATCGTGCAGTGGTTTTGGACTATACAGCAGGGGACACATTATAAAGTGATTGTTTTTCATTTAGCCTGTATATGTTCTGCAGAATCTGCATTAAACTGTATTTTCCAAAGTACTGAACGGATCTGGGTGAATTTTGGATATGTGGTTCTCCCAGATCTCCCAGTTCCAAGGATATATTTATGGGGTTATTGCATGTTTGGGGTCCCTGTGATGTGTTTTATGAAACTGTATTTCTCTGGCTGTGATAATTAGATTAACCATTGTGTTCAGTAATCATATCACAGCCAGAGGGGAGGATTTTGTGTGGGAGTGTCTGGGTGTATTGTACAGATTGATTGATTGTTTTGTAACGCCCTGTGGGCTGTACTATGTTTGTGGATTGGGAATAAAAGACACTGTATGTGACAGTACAGGGAGTTCCTGTTTTAACCCTCAAAGTGAAGTGTCGTCTCATTATTAGGGGAAGGATTTATTGTATGCTGTTCCAGTTTGACTGCTAGGAGAGTAAACCTATTCATATGGTTCCTATTCAACTGTCTACAGCATTCATATGCTTGAGAGCATTCATATGCTCCTACGGTTCGGTGGTTTTGGTGTCTGCTGCAGTGCTTGGAGTCCTCAGGAAGTGCTAGGAGCATCCTTTAACGGAGGTACCCAGTCGGGGTGCCAGGTGATCCGTTACAGTACCCAGTCGGGGTGCCAGGCGATCTGTTACACAGAGTATTATATAGTAATAGTGCAGGGTATTATATAGTATTAGTACAGAGTATTATATAGTATTAGTACAGGGTATTATATAGTATTAGTACAGAGTATTATATAGTATTGTAACGGCACCCTCAGCATAAAAGGGTTAAACCGCCGTTTAGGAGATCTTCCCCTTCCAGAGATGCAGGCACAGCTACTGCAGAACACCAATCTGCCGAACAGGAAACCATACGAATGCCGTAAACAGCGGTGTGACAGATTCATCTGTATTGCTGGTTCGTCTGTTACCCTTTGTTTTCGCTGGATTTCCTGTCCGTATGCCCCTGTTCGTGTGATTACAAAATACCGATTGAAACTACCGAACGAACGACCACCCAGGAGAGGAGTGTGCTGCTGGTTAACCTCTTGGCCCCAATTAGAACGTTGTGGTTAACCGCAGACACCTCTCCATTCCATTCGTACGGGTGGTTGTCGTTCGCATGCCGACCATGAGGCGGCGGCCATTTTGGGACACGAGGAAGCGTAGCGGTGTTCGGTACAAATTCTATCGAACTAAAAACGGACACTTTAATCTACCGAACACCGCTGGAAGCTGCTGCCCACCTTCTATTTCGGCGAGGCGCACGAACGCCGGTCTGTTCGGGAGTTTTATGCATTCGTATGGACTTTTACCCAGATAGCCGTCCCATGGAGTCATTCGTATACTGAAGGACTGGTGAAAGACTTTGACTCCATGGCGATTCGACTAGATACATCGGATCTGAGCGCTATTCGGTAGAAATATGCACTCAGATCCAGGCCGTCTGGGGATACGTTACACGAACTATATTCATTCGGTATTTCTTCAGTTATATATTTTAATGTATTTTCCTTACTGTATTTTAAAATGGCGATTGTCTCTATCCTGGGAGATAATTAGGTTTCTTCCTAATTATCTCCGCGGTAGAGAAGAAGGGTTTATGGGTAAGATGGGTGTGGCAAACCTAGCCACTCGGACTATAACTGGACACTATGCCTTTAAGGGTTGCCTATAGGTCTGAAGAGGTATGCGTTTTAACCTGTATGTATCTGCTTCATGTATTCCCTGCATTGCCTGTACCTATCTGTTCCGCCGAATGCACATGGCGGTTTGTATGGGGATTCTCGTTCGTTTCACGAACGGCACTTTGGAGGGCCGTTCGTGAAGCGAATGCGATGCCCCCTAATAGCCCACACACTTAGAGGCGTGTGGCGCTAGTTAACCGATTGCAACATTGTTGCAATCGGTTATTAGAGGCTCTCCTGGGTGGCCGTCGTTCGACTACGGACCATGCGGCGGTCGGCCATCTTGGATCCTTTGTTCCCTCAGCGGGGTTATGTCGTCGAGCGCCTGGTACTAAAAACGGCTACTCGACGGCATGAGCCCCGCTGAGCCTGCAGGACGTTAGGGAGTTTCGGGACGTTCGGGATTTTGTTCCCTAATAGCAATCGGTGCTTTTGGTATGTTTTATATGAATTGTGTTGTTCGTGCGGCGTTCGGTTATTTTAGCAGGGATCTGAGCGGTAATCTCACGAATGATACCCTCAGACCCCAGCTATCTACCGAACGTCCATTCGTGTAAATCCACTATATATTCACCAAGTTATTGATTTTTATGTGAATTATCGGTTCTGCTGCACGAGGGGGTAATCCACTTAACGGTGCATTCTGGAAGGATTATCCCTCTCGTGCAGCGGTGCCTGATGGGAGAAAAAGGCTGTAATATCAGTCCCCCATGTAGTCCCCTCCTGTACAACCCCTGTAATGTCAGTAAGGAAACCCCTTGCATGGGGAACTGCATAAATACTGTGACCTGTGATTAAAACCTCAGTTGACTCCCAGCCTATGTGTCGTCTAGTTCTTGGGAAGGAAGGGTTACTGCAGTGCTGTTTGGATTAATATATGCTGATTCCCTGGATTATCCTTTGTTGTTCCTGTTACCCAGCGGAGATATCGTGGATTATACTGCCTCTCCGCTACAATGGGAAGGGCTTATATTGAAGCCACTGCGATTGGCTACTGTCCAATATGTTTTACAGTCTTCCACAAGGTCCCCTCGGGGAGTGTCCACATTGTGGAGACCTGCATAAATACCGGGCAGGTAGCCCCCATTAAACAGATCCTTATTTGACCCTCAAGACGGAGCTTAGTCTCGTTTGTGGGGGAATTATTACTGGGACAGGGCTTTCGTTATTTCTAGCTGTGGAAGGCGTTCGACTGTTTTGCTGATCGGGAGTTGCCGTGTTCGTGAACTTCGTTCGGGAGTTTGGCGGTCGGCTGGATAGAAACTGCATTTCTGGAGAGGGGGATTATTCACTAAACGGCGGCTTCATCTACCTGGCTGTGAGTGTCGTAACAATCGGTATTTTGTAATCACACGAACAGGGGCATACGGACAGGAAATCCAGCGAAAACAAAGGGTAACAGACGAACCGGCAATACAGATGAATCTGTCACACCGCTGTTTACGGCATTCGTATGGTTTCCTGTTCGGCAGATTGGTGTTCTGCAGTAGCAGGGTATTATATAGTATTATATAGTATTAGTGCAGGGTATTATATAGTATTAGTACAGGGTATTATATAGTATTAGTGCAGGGTATTATATAGTATTAGTGCAGGGTATTATATAGTATTATATAGTATTAGTACAGAGTATTATATAGTATTAGTACAGGGTATTATATAGTATTAGTACGGGGTATTATATAGTATTATATAGTATTATATAGTATTAGTACAGGGTATTATATAGTATTATATAGTATTAGTACAGGGTATTATATAGTATTAGTACAGGGTATTATATAGTATTATATAGTATTAGTACAGGGTATTATATAGTATTAGTACAGGGTATTATATAGTATTAGTACGGGGTATTATATAGTATTAGTACAGGGTATTATATAGTATTAGTATTAGTACAGGGTATTATATAGTATTAGTACAGGTTATTATATAGTATTATATAGTGTTAGTACGGGGTATTATATAGTATTAGTACAGGGTATTATATAGTATTAGTACAGGGTATTATATAGTATTATATAGTATTAGTACAGGGTATTATATAGTATTAGTACAGGGTATTATATAGTATTAGTACGGGGTATTATATAGTATTAGTACGGGGTATTATATAGTATTAGTACAGAGTATTATATAGTAT